GCGAGTCTGGAGACCGTGAAGGTGCGGGCGGCGGGCGGCGGGAGGTCAGGGTGGGTCCGGCCCTGCCGCGGATGCTCTCCCTCCCCGCTCACATGTCCGTGCTTTGGCCGTAGGTGGGGAAGACGTTCGAGCTGCTCAACTGCGATAAGCACAAGGCGCTGCTGCTACGGAACGGCCGGGACCCCGGGGAGGTGCGGCCTGACATCACCCACCAGGTAGGCGCTGTGGCGGCCTGGGCTGCTCGGAGTAGCCCGGCACTGCGGCTCGGGGCGAGCGTCCCTCGGGTCTGGGAGTCCGCTTGTGCCCCGCAAGGCCGGGGACGAGTTTGGCCTCCCCAGCTATGCTGGTGCGTTTTGGATAGAGTCGCTATTTGGGTCTGGATTTCATTTCTTAGCATCACACCATTACATTCTGTAATCAGGTTAGCTTTCGGCCTCAGCATCGGTCCTTTGTGCAGCTGTGGGGGCTAACCCTATTTTTTTCCCTAGAAGTCTCTCTCTTGTGCCTTTCTGTTCTCATTACCGTGTGCTTTTTGCTTTCAGAGTCTCCTGATGCTCATGGACAGCCCCCTGAATCGGGCTGGGCTCCTGCAGGTTTATATCCATACCAAGAAGAACGTTCTCATTGAAGTCAATCCCCAAACCAGAATACCAAGAACCTTTGATCGATTCTGTGGTCTTATGGGTAAGTGACTCCAACTCTACACCAACTATAGAATAGTACAGGAAGGTAGACAGGATGGGAGGAACTCTGGGAAAAGTAAAAATCTGGCACTGAGTTTAAAATGTGAAAGTAAAAAAAGAGCAGAAAAGTGAAAGCATCTTTTTGGGATGTTCCAAGATGCATGACACACCCCAGCTGTGTGTTCCTTGGCACAGTGGGGAGCGCCTGCAGGAGGTTGTGCTGTCAGCAAAATAGCTTTTTTCAGACTGTGATGGGACCTCTGAAGGTGGACTTTTTGTGTACCTCAGCTCAGGCAAAGCAAGGGATTCCTCCAGCAAATTACCACACAGCTTAAGTAACTTTTTTTTGTTTGTTTTCCCTTTGCCAGTTCAGCTGCTGCATAAGCTCAGTGTTAGAGCAGCTGATGGGCCTCAGAAACTGCTGAAGGTAAATATTCTGTAACTCTTCACAGCTACTGTTACAATGTTCTAACAGCAGTGTAGGAGGTGTTTTTTTGTTTGGGGGTCCTGGTTGTGGCTGTGGTTGTTATTCTATTCTGTCACATCATTGTAGGGGGCCCTGGTTTCAGGGGGGCTCTCCCACATGCTACCTGCCTAGGAGCTGCTGCTGCAGGAAGGAAACCCCAAACACACCTGTCTTTGGAGCTGAGGGATCTGCTTCCTCATGTCAGCCTGACTGCCATGCCTGGGCATTGACACTTTTTGGGTACAGCTTTTAAAATGGCAGGGAGAGGTGGAAATGAAGATAGAATTAACTGGAACAACTTCTGCAGTTACAGAGGGGAAGACTGGATAAACCACAGGGACAAAGGGTGTATCAGGATATTGGGTTGCTTGGATGAAGAGCTACCCTTGTTGCTGGAAATGCCAGAAAAGCAGCGGCCTGAGGAAGGTGATGATGGTGTCACCTTGGCAGAGAACGTTTGGCCCTAGTCAGTGCATCTGCCCCAGGAAATGGGTCAGCAGGCAGGGAGGGACAAGGAGCAGCCTTTTCCACACAGGGTTGTCATGAAACTGGCTCAAGGAACATGCCAGAACAAGGAGCTTCTGGGCCAGAGCAGGGCCTCACTGTGCCGCTCCTCAGGCAGCTGCAAGACTCCCAGAAGCAAAGAACCAATTATGACTTAAATGTGTTTTGTAACTTTCTTCTGGAAAATCCAGATTCCCCAAAGAAGGAGAGTGGTTTTAAATCCCAGCAGCAGCCTGCTTGCCAGCCAAGATGAGACAAAGTTGCCTAAAGGGGACTACAGGTCCTCCTTGTTCTCATTCTGCACCCCTTTCAAGAGCATCTTCCAGAAACACAGAGAGACCGGCAACATCTGGGCACATGTGCTGGGGTTTGTTCTGCCCCTCTGCCTGGGGATCCTGACCATGCTGCCCAATGTGTAGCTCATGGCTTCTCTGCAGGAGAAGGTGGTGTTTGGGGTGTTCTTCCTGGCAGCAGTGCTATGCCTCAGCTTCTCCTGGCTATTCCATATTGCCTGCTCTCACTTGGAGATTTTGTGGACTTTTTCGATTTTGGAATGTTCAGGAATTGCTCTGCTGGTCATAGGGAGCTCTGCTACTCGTTCTCCTGCTCCCCACAGCCAAGACTCATCCACCTCTACATCACCTGTATCCTGGGCATATCTGCCATCACTGAGCCTCAACCCCCCTGGCACTGTTTTTGCTCAGGGACCTGGGTGTGCTTGGTGGGTAATTGAGGGACAGGGAAACAGGGTGTGTACCTCAAGGGGATTTGATTTGTGGGCAAGGACAGTTTTTGATGTTGAATTTTGTATGTAATGTTGGTTGTGGAATGACACCACCGCTGTGTTTTGTAAATCCAGTGGGGATGGACTGCTCCAGATGCAGCAGTCATGAGCTCCTGATGCAGCCTGCAAACAGCTGATGAATTTTTTGTTTGTTTGCTGCTTTTAGCAAACAATGGATCTAGTTGTGTGTCAGGGTCTGTTACCTCTACACCCCTGTTCACTTTCTGCTTTCTGTAGGTGATTAAAAACCCAGTCAGTGAGCACCTGCCCGTGGGCTGTGTGAAGATTGGTACCTCTTTCGCAGCGCCGCAGGTGTCGGATCTGCGTGAGCTGGTCCCCGCGGCAGAGCCAGTTGTCATTGTGGTGGGAGCTTTTGCCCACGGGTCGGTAAGTGTGTGTAGCCCTTCTCTGGGGTTGTAAAAAGGTTCCAGTCTTGTTCTGGGTATGGAGGTTTGATCTGCCCTTTTTTTTATGGCTTGGTTTCCCCTTCACCCAGCCCCCCATTTTTCTCTGTATGCTTGTCAAATGAAAGGCCCAAAACTGCAACACTTGGGACTGTTCTCCCTCCCAAGGGAGGGCATTAGCAAAGGCTAGCAGTTCCCTGCTGAGGAAATACTGTGCCTCTGCAGTTGTTAGGGATGGAAGGGATCTCTAGAGATCATCCAGTCCAACTCCCTGCCAAGGCAGGGGAGCAGGTGACACAGGAACACATCTAGGAATCTAGGATTCTGAATGTCTCCAGAGAGGGAGACTCCACAACCTCCCTGGACAGCCTGTTCCAGTGCTCTGCCATCCTCATCATAAAGAAGTTCTTCCACCTCAGGAACTTCTTGTGTTTTAGTTTATGGCCACTACTCCTCACCCTGTGGCCAGGCACCAGAGGAAAGAGCCTGACACCATCTTCTTGTCACCCATCCTTGAGATACTTACGTGCATTAATGAGATCCCCTCTCAGCCTTCTCTTCCCTAGATAAAACAGGCCCTGCAGTCTCTCCACATAAGAGATGGTTCCTTGTCCTAATAATTTTTCTAGCCTCTGCTGGACCCTCTCCAGTGGCTCCTTGTCTTTCTTGTACTAACAGAGATGGGGCTCAGGGAAAGCTTTTTGCAACTTTTTTTTTTTTTTTTCCTTTTTCCATTTTCCCCCTCCTCTTCTTCCAGGTCAATGTTGACTACACAGAAAAGATGGTCTCCATCAGCAACTATCCCCTTTCTGCTGCCCTGACGTGTGCTAAAATTACTACTGCCTTTGAAGAAGTGTGGGGAGTAGTGTGAGCTCCTGATGCTACTGGTGTCATGATGGACTTGTATACAGTGACTTCACATTCTGGAAAGGCTCTTTAACTTGGGTGTGGACCTGGTACAACTTTGGGCTCCTGGAAAACACTTCAACTTTGTCCTTTTGGCTTCTGAAGCAGTGAGACTTTAAACGGACTGCCCCACTGACCCTTTTTCTTCCTATTAAAGGTACCTTTTTTAATTAAAAAGTGCTTGTGAATTTTACTTTCTCACTTTTCATATGTGGGCAGGCTGGATCCCTTTATAGCAGGGACTTGGCCCAAATTTGTCACAGAACTGGAATTCTTAGCTGTGCCCTGCTCACCCTGGTGTCACTTGGTCCTGTAGAATCGCCTTACTTGGTGGCATCTGCCAGTTCACACTCCCACACCAAGGCACCCAAGAGGAAAGGAGCTGAAGTCGATGTTAAAAAGACCAGGAGCAATTTTTATCTTAGATGACAAACGTAGAAAAGTCAGAAGGTGGCTCCAATCCAACGCAGCACCTGCCGTGAGTGTGGTACAATCATCTGGTATCAGCGGAGAGACGAGTGGTGCCGGCCGTGGGGCGGCACAGATAAGGCAACAGACAGAAGGTGGAGGGTCTCAAGGAGGCTCGCTCAGATCCCCTCCTTTGGGGTCTCTGACCCTGTGCTTTCTCCTTCCCCCTCCTTATGCGTTGAAAAATAGTCATACTTCAACACAGCAGACTTGGCAGGTGATGCTTTGCTTCCGGAGTGTAAAATCAACTCCTACGAATGCACAGGTGGTACAATCTGAAAAACAGAGGAGCCCTATATTTGCTTCGGTTGATTTGATATTTGCCTTTCACCTTGGGCTGCAGCATTGCTTCCCCACTTTACCCCCTGGTCTCTACCTCATACAGCCTTACCTTTTGGCTGTTACTCTGCTCTTTTTAGCTTTTCTTTTCGTGGCACAATTAATCTGCGAATGTAAGGCAACACCAGCAGTAAGGTGAAGAATAACACGTGGCCAAAGAAATAAATAGACCTGTACACCTGTAAAGAGAAAGGCACGGTTGGGGATCAGCTTTGAGCCAAGAACACAGGGAAGGGGAATGAGGGAACAGGGTTGACCATGTGGGGTTGTCTGTTTGTGGCTACTAAATACCTTCATCCATTTGTCCCAGGTGAAAAGGCAAAATGGCACCAGAGAGTAACCCATGAACATCCAGTGGTTAGTCTGCTGCAGCACGTAGAAGATGGGCCGCAAGGCAGTGATGGAGGCCAATGTGCTCAGGGGAGGACTGTCTCGAACAAGGTTCATGACCTAATTTAAAGAAAAAAACCCACAGAATTCTCAACAGCTGAATATCCTGTGGCTGTATATATGCAGGCTCTGGGTCCAAAGTTCTCCAGCTGTGTAAAATGTGTTTTAGTGAGCTAGTCTAAAAAAGCAGCTCAATACCTTGTCCTGACCAAAGTTTTAATTAAGAAAATGCATTTTAATGAGGTATATTGTTCTCTAAGTACTAGGAGATTAACAGAGGCATTTCAGCTCTTGTGTTTGTCCTCCAGTCTTTCCAGCTGCCAAGCACTTCAGCCACCCTCTGCTCATGTGCCAAGTTTTCTACTTTTCTCTCTGTCAGCTTCTGCAGTATATTTATGGTTTGCCCACGCAGAAGGCAACAACCTACTGAACTCTTGAGAACAAAACCCTGCCATGCTTGAAAACCAATTCCAAAGTGAGGGGTTATTTTTCATATTTAATGCAAGTAAAGCCTTCAGCGTGGCACTTTGCAGACACGGGGGGAGAGGCTAACACAAGCACCCCCGTTCTGGTAAGGCAGACAAAGCGCACCTGTCTTTCCACGATGACTATAAGCAATTCCATCTGAAAGCACACCAGGTAGCCAGAGTGCAGCCCGTGCCAAATGGCCAGGAAGAACAGGGCCAGTGCCTGTGACAGCAGTTTGTTGCCCAGGAACTTCAAGCGCTTGAAGATGTAGCTAGAGCAGAAAAGAAACAAAGTGTTTCCAGGTTATTATCTGCCCTCCCCTGGTTCTGTCAGTGCCCAGGGGACCCGATGTCTCTGCATGCCCAGTGGTGGCAGGACAGCATGACCAGGGCAAAACCTGCACCAAAACAGTCTTAAAGAAACCCCAGCTGTAAGGGGGAGAAGGAGGTCGTTACATACAATTTTGCTGTGTGTCCCAGCAAGTGGTGAACCAAAACCCATCCGAGTTTGGCGTGGGGAGCACCAAGAGCTGTGATGCAGGCAGCAGCTGTCAGAGCAGCTCTGCGGCTGGCTGAGCAGGCAGGCAGCCCCAAGGGCTCACCGTAATCCCATTCTAGTCTTTGCTGCCATCAGCTGCTTGCCTTTATTAATGAACTGCCCTGCCAGGTGGATTAAAAGATCTCTCTTAACCCAGTAACCCAATAACCTGTTTCTAAGGGCGCAGCAGCAAAACATGGAAAGAGGTGCACAAAGTGAAAACTGGCAGATTCTTTTTCTAACACTCCCACTTAGCCTAAGGTCTTGGATCTGCTGACAAAACAGAACTGACACATTATAGAAGGAAGATTTTTGTCCTGCTCACCGGGCCACCCAAGCATTGGTGTTGATGTTGAAAGAAGCAATGGTCCCTGTGAACAAAGGTGTTGTCTCATACAGCCAGACCTTCATGTTGGCACAGGCATTCCACAAAGGCTTTCCATTCTGGTCTTTCCCATTGTACCCCAGACCAACAAGGATGCAGACACCTTCCTATCAAAAAATGCACAAGAAAGAAAAGATGAAAATATTGCCTGTCTTTGCTGGAGAAGCAGAGCTGAGGAAGCGCTGACTCTCACTGTGTCGAGAGCATCACTAGAGATGAAACAAATGGGTTAAAAACTGCCTTTTAGTTAGCTAGCCTTTGCTAACTTAAAGCAAGCTAAACTGACCTGCACTGATCTCCAGATATTTGGATTTCTTCCATTTAGTGCTAAGTCCAAGAGGCTTGGACCTTTATTCATTTGTCTTTTTCTTCTGGTAGGACATCTAGACTCACCGTAACAAGCCAGCAAGTTACGTATTTGTAGAGTATCATTTTGCCCCAGATCAATATGTAACCACAACGGAACCAGAAAGGCTTCTCCTGCAGAGATAAGAGTGAAACAGAGTAAAAATAAAATCTGGAGTTGAGTGGCCATAATGATACAAGGTAAATGGGATCTCATCACTGTCTTTTGTCTTAATCTGATGGATGTGTTAAGACATATGGAGCAGGCTGCCAAGTTTACGCAAACTTACACATTGTTCTCCTTCCTTTGGTAATATTTGGCTATACTGAAATAGACAGAGTTTGGGAAGACTCTGGGATTAGCATAATCAAAATGCTTGCTGATAATCTGCCTGTAGGAATTATTTGTTAAGAGTTTTCCAAGCACCTCAAAGATTATGGGAAGCCTTACAAGTTACTCTAGTGAAATTCTTTGCACGTAATGGTTAAATGGAAAGTCATCAAAAGGTCATAAAATATGTATGTTAGGTTTCCAAAACCAACAGTAGCATTAAAGATCAATTATCTATTTGTAAAAGTTTTCATTTGTTTCAGTTCTGCTTAACACATTCCTGTTCTGCATCAGATGGAATCCACAGGACAGGCAGTAAAGCCAAATCAGCTGTGGAAAAGCTTATCACTAGTTGCTGACTTATTTTTAAATTGAGGCAAAAATAAAAAAATAAATAAAAAACCTAATTGCCCTCTTGCAGATCCAGTGCCCACCAGAGATGTGGAATTCTTCCACACCCTGCAAAGCCAAGTGAATACATACCATATAGTCATCTGAGGTGAGGTATTCATCAGAGATGTACAGGCTTGACAAGGTGTAGGTTACTAGAAACAAGAGACCCAGGCTCAGGCGCTTGAGAGCAGGCACGAAACTGAGAAAGAAAAATATGAAGGTCAAAAGAAATGCCTTGGGAAGACACCATCAAATTCATAGTTTTAAAAACAGAGGTGAGGAGGAGGTAGGGGAGACAGTGATAGGGAGTCACTACATTCCACTGCAGCAGCTGCCTCCATTTGGAAGGATGGGATGCAAACATCACCGGGTTAGAACCGAGTCTGTACTAAATATGTCAAATGGTTGTCAATGTTCATGCCCTGGAACAATGCTGGGACATTAAGCAGAGTTACGAGCAATTTTTGAAAGACTGCCTTGTCTCACAAATCACTTCTGGTCACAATACATCTGTGTCCAGGTAAGAAGGCAGTCTGCTGCAGGGAATGTGGAGGATTCAGCATTCTAGGATCGTAGGAAGGGGAGAAGCCAAGCAGCTTTGTATTACCTATTGGGTCTCTGGCCTGGAACGTCAGTCATCTCACCCCTTGCCAGTTTCTGATAGTCTGTCATGGAGAACTGAGGCCCAACCATGAAGGCACCATAGAAATAGGAGAATCCTGAGACCTCCAGCAAGGTAGGAACCCCCCGAACAGCAAATCGCCTCTGCTCAGGGGTCAGGAACTCCTGCACCAAAGGGAGTGGCATTAACATCATCCCAGGGGTTTCATACTAGCTCTGGATGTTATGTCCTTACCCTGCCTCCTTACTGGTTTCAGCTCTTGCTCCCCATGGATGTGGAACTTAACACCTTGTACTTCATGTCCATTCCTCTCCCCAGCCCTCTATATCCCCACCCCATCCAAACAAGATCCAGTGGTTGAGACCAGTTGCACAGATCTCTATTCCCAAATAAGCTCCAAACATGGAAGGGATCTACTGACATGCATTCCTGGCAGCAGAGTAAGCACAGTAGGAGCACTGTATCGGACCCAATCCAGTCCCTGACTGCAATTTCATGTACTCTCCCAAGACCTTATTGTGCTACAATTCCTACTTCTTGATGCAAAAATTGTCTTTACTTGAAGCTTCAGCTCAGGAAGTTTCAGTTTGACCTCATTTTCCTGCAGTCAGCAGTGACTCCATGGATGCTACATACTTGCTCAGGCCTCAAACAGGAGATGGGGAATGCAAGTACTCAAAGCAGGATATAGGGACTGTAGCACATGTAGTGCCCTCTCCCATGTGCTGTGCAACTTTCCTGTTTCATCTGAGCTAAAAACAGGGACCTAACCAATGGTAAAAGGGAACCATTGACAGGGACATGGTAAGACTAATCAAAGAAAAGGGAGATGGGAACTGAGATCCAATACTGAGATCCAGTTTGAGATACAATTGCGATACAGTCTGCAAGTTAAAGGTACACTACCCACAAGACACAGAGCATCAGGGATTGGGAATCTAAAGCAATAGATTTTGGGGAAGGAGATGGTGGGGAATTCCAAAGGGTCAGAGTACTATTCTGACATAACTGAAACAACTGTCCATTTCTAATCACTACTTTCTCTGTTCCAAATTATTCTGTTGCACTCTAGAATTCAGTGTCTTCAAACATTCACAGAGGCTCCCCTCTCAGCTGTGGCTTTTACCTAACAATGCAGCTTGCTAATTCACATCCTTTGAACTTGATTTTCTGATCTCTAGCTCACTGGGATGGCATGGAATGACAGAGAAATGTTTTCTGACTCACCGGATCTTTTCCTCCATCATAGTAATCGATGGCCAGACCTAGAGGTGAGAAACAGTGACTTGAAGCCCTGGGAAGGGCACAGCTTGCAGAGTGCAAGAGAGAGAAGAGAGGTGTCACTCACCAATCAACTTAAGTGTCAAGACACAATGTGGCATTGTCCATTTGATGTCATAATGCTCTGTGGCTGTGAAGTAATATCCAGCCATAAGGTATGTCTGAAAGAAACCATTGTTTGGGTTATTCAAACTAATTCCTCCAGCTGGTTTTGATCTGCCTCCACTTTTCCACCCACAGTTGCTACTGGAGTGCAAAACTGAACAGAGGCTTCCCTTCTAGAAACCCAGGGAATAAGAAAGAGGGTTTACCATCTGAAAGAGGAATGTGGTGATGACAGCAGTGACTGTGCGACCCATTAGTCTCAGTATGAGGAACTGGATTAGGACACATATCAGGGAATGAAGAAACTGCATCCCTGTGGGCAGGAAAGAGATAAGAAATAGAAATTACATTTATAGGTCCTCCCAAATCACAGCATGCCCTGGGCCAGGCAGCTCTCTCTTCCCAAACTTATCTTACCAAAATTGAAGTAAGCAATTGAGAGTCCCGTGAACACATTGTAGAGATGAATGAGGTAGGCCTCCTTCTGGAAGAGGAAATAGCGCTGGAACAAGGCAAAAGGATATCCTGAGAGGGGAAAAAGAAAAGACAAAAAAAAAAGAAAGAGCTGTAAATAAGTTTAGACAAGTATTTGTCATGAACCAAACTATAGCCTTCTTGAACATATCATTAGGAATATGTACTTTGCATGATACATTATCAACACAGGGCATGGTGTTAATTCCTGATACTGCATTTGCATTTTGGGAGACAGACTCCAGATGAATTACTCTGTACAGAAGAAAGTACTTTAACAGGAACATAATTATAGCAAAACTGACATTGAAGCACAAAAAATAACAGGATTACGGTTTCTGGCCTCATTCAATTTACGAGATGGATAATGCTGAAATACATGAATCACACTTCAGCCTCTGATTCATTTCCAGATTCTGTGACAAATAAAATGAACATGGCAAGAAGCCAGATCAAAACAAAAAAAAAGGGGGGGGGGAAGGGAAAAACTTTATGGTGAATACCATTACAATGTCCAAAAAACCTCAGTCCCGCTCCCACCTCAATGAGTTCCTTCAGCATTAATTTCAGAGTTCCTAAGGTGACCTCCAGTAAGATACTCTTGCTTTTCTAACTCTGCAACTTCAGATTTGCATCTAATTTGTGAACTACTGAGTACACAAAGCTGTAACTAAAATCCACTGGTACTATGCATGTGGTTTTTTTGGAAAAAAAAAAATCAGAAGCATTTCATATGGAGCAGCTAAGAAAAGCAGAAGGGTTTTTTACCTTGCATTTTCTGTGAGGTAATTCCTAGTCTGGATTAGGAATGCCTCCAGATTATTCATCTGTGGCTCAAGTGAGAAGCAAACATTTGTGAAGCACTCTGGTAGTACAGAGAAAAGCGTCACACAGAACACCAGGATTCAATTAAATTCTGTTGTCTAGGTGAGTTTCACAAAGCATACAACAAACATTGCCACTAGTAGACAGTAAATATAATATGTCTCAATACACAGTGGCACAGGAAGCATTGCAATTAGTGTTTCTAAAGGCATGTGCACAAGGTACTGAACTGGGATACCAGAAACCACTTCAATTCTGGCATTTTGTAACTTTATCGCTCTACTTTGCAAGCCTGTGTGTTCTCTTACCCTGCTCACAAAAAGGGGAAATTCATCACATCCCACAATACTGGCATCCACACCACTTAGCACCCTAGCTGAAATCAGGAGCAGTGGATGGAGCTCTGCTACCTGCACTAATGGAGTCATAGCAGGAGGTGGTCATGTTTGATATGGAGCAGTAATAAAAGGTGATGAAATGCACATTCTGCCGAGAAGTGTATGATGGATGGAAGGCTTCCAATAAGCAAGGCCAAGTCTAGTCACTGCTGTGGGAGGAAATGAGAAACTCTGTCACGTTATTTAAATACACATCTGGCAGTCTGTCAGTGCTGACAGGCTGGAGACATTTTAAGGCCCTCTCTGTCCCCACAAATCCCTTGGGAGGGAGCCCTGGAGTTGGGGACTTTAGGGCTCTTTTCTAGACCTTTTTGGGCTCATGTTCTACTGTGTCCAGATGTGCACCTGCTGCCTCCTGTAACCCAGCTGTTGCTCCCTATTTCCTCAGCCTCCCACCACCCCTCTTTAGGTTCTCCCTGCCTCCTTGTTGCTGTTCCTTGCTCCTTTTGTGTCCCACACCACAGGCTGCTTTCTGGCCAGCCCCACATACCACTGCTCTCTGCTCCCAGAGCCTGGCAACCTCCCTCTTGCACATCCAGCCTGCTCTCCCTTCCAAAACAGCGGCTCCAAACTCCCCTACAAAATGCCTTACCCAAGACATCCCTCTCCCTTCCCGCTCTTCTATGCTTTTTACACAGCCTGCTTCTGCCCCATTCTCCCCTCATTGCTGCCCTGAACACCAGCTGAGGGGGAAAGAGGGAATTGGCAGAGAGTGCATCACATGGGCTCTCTGGGGATACAGGAGTAACTCAAAGAATTAGAGCAATTCACATGATTTAAAAAAAAAAAAAAAAAAAAGAGTAGTATTTTTTACTGGCCTTTTACTCAGAAACATACAAATGGGGATTCTTTGTTCATGAGCCAATCTTTCTGCTGAACTTTAATAAACACAGGAAGAATTGGCTTTGAGAAATGGAAAGTGGTAAAAAATAAGAAGTTTTACTATCAAATTAGATCAAAAGTTAAAAAGCTGAGGTTTACTGGAGAAAAATGTTTCCCCCTTCTGAGCAAAAGGGAGAAAGATCAGAAATACAGGCAAAGCACAATTTATTGCTGTTCATCAATATGCATGGTTTTAAACCTTCGTTTTAAAGGGTCTCCCACTCTCCTAAAAATCACTAATATTTTGCAAAACACTCAATTTCTACCACATTTTTTCCCCTCCAGCAATTTCTATAGACATAATTAAGTATGACTGAATACTGTAACTAGTGCTCCTACTCTTTCAGAGACCTGTCTCACTTGTCAGCCGCCTTCCTTTTTAGCTCTACGCAGGAGATCATGTCATGGTTTGGGTAATGCTGCTCTGAAGGAAGAATTATGAACCCTTGCAAATAGAGAGTTACTAATAATACACACTGTATCTAAGTCTTTATAAACTTAAAGCTACTACGTGGCTGCTGTTCCGGTTCAAAGGTCACAACATCAGCCTAAATTCTCCTGATATCCAGAGTATTAGTACAGACTTGTTAGTACTCTGGACTGCAATTTACCTACAACTTTGCTGCATGTGATAATTTTCCCAGTTTTACAACAGGGTCTGTGGCATGTTGCAGATACAAACTTTGACCCCCAAACAGCAGCAGGAATGGGGTAGCAATGGTCATTCCGAAGTGGTCTGTGCCCTTTTGAACACTCATAAACTATTAAATAACAATTTCTGCTGCTAACATCAGTACTCCTGCCCCGCTACCGTGTCCCTGAAGCAGCCTGAATTAGCACAGCAGCTTTTGGAGTTATGGTTGCCTTCTGGCAAGCTGGATGTCACCTTTGGATATGCCAGCAGCAGGACACTGCACTGCTTTGCTTCTGCCATTCAGAGCAACAGGACAAGAGTTCCTGCTCCTTGCTGCCAAGAGGCTCTGCCCAGCAGCTCCCACTCTGCCAAACTCCTCTTTCACAGCTCCCTAAGCAGAGTGGACCGGGGCGGGAAAGCGGCTGGAAGACTCCTGCAGACAACAGCAGGGAACCTCTGATCCAAACTCATCCTTCCCTATGCACCACGGAGCTGAGAAACAGCCTGCACACAGAGCTGGGTTTTGCCTCCAGATACACTTCCTATGGAATGGGATTAGCAATTGAGATTATTTTTATTTTTTTTATTTCACAGGAGCAAGAGGATGATCTCTGGTTAAGAGAACCATGGAGGTGGAAGGAAAAGACAAGCTCAGCTTCTTGGCCACAGCCATGTGGGAGAGTAATGGGCCAGTGCACAAAGCACAGGCTGTCCACAGATACAAGAATCTAACTGAGCAAAAGAAGTTAAATCATCAAGAAGGTGGATTAGGCAGGAGAAAAGTTCATCTAATCCCAAGCAAAAATAGTGCTGTCAAGTTTGCCATCTTCTGGACTGGGTGATTAAAATGCCTCTCTTTTTCAAGAGATAAAGCTGCAAATAAGAACAGCAGAAACATTCTTTTCATCTCTGCTCCCTTTATTTCCCCTTTTATATGCACTAGCTCTGTCTCATCTTGAAGCCAGTACCTCTATTTTTCCTCTTCTCCCTCTTGCAGACCATTTAACTCCTCCTTTGTTAACATCCATCAGGGCAATTGTCTCATTTTTTTTATAAGAATGGTAAAACTAAAAGGAATGGGACAATGGGTGAAAAAAAGTGTTAAAATCAGCCTTACCTCAGATTTTGACTTCAAAGTTATTCCCTCCTGTTTCTATCACTGCAAAAGTGCCACACCTTATTAAACACTGTGTGCATAAACATGAGTATTTTAATTCAGCTCAGGAGTTTACCCTGAAAGTCCACTTATGGTGCTTTAGTTTGCGTAACAGAGCTGTCTCAAAGCCTGTGAGCAGGACTCTCTTCACACAAAACTGAACTGAAAACACACTCCAATCAATGGGTGCCCAGTGTGTATGACCTGACTGAGGAAAATCCAAAGCAAATGCTCAAAACAAGTCTGTTCTATACATCTGCTCCTACTGCACCATTTTTCTTGCTAATGTAGACACAAGCACTGTGCAGCATTACTCAGCTCCCTCTGGTTTTTTACTATTTAAGAAGTATTTGAAGTCAGGAGTTTAAACAATGAGTTTGCAGCACATGAGTGTTCTGTGACAGGGCTGGTTTTATGACAGGACAATGCTGCCTCTTAAAACTTTTCCCAGAATCAGTTGTTCATCAGTTGTTGCTTGGCTGACCAGCTGGAAACTTGACTGGGATAAGCCAGCAGCTTTGGGTGACCACAAGAAGGACTTCACTGAGCCTAAAAATCTTCAGAATGCAGGGAGCATGAAGCAGAGCATGTAAAAAAATTGCTGAGAGATAGAAGAGGAAGAGATAAGACAAGTTGTGAGTGAAGCAGTAGGTTTCTGGCACCCATTGAGTAAGAATGTGTTACTTTCTGCAGGACCCTATGTCTGTGGATGAAGGAACACTTTCCCAATGCTTTTCCTGGCAGCTCTGGGCAAACCAGCAGGGTCATTTCTGGCTCAGGGCTGTAAACAGCATGTTGGCCCTTCTCCATATTATGCAGGTAGCTCACAAGGCACTGTGTAATATCACGGTCAGATAAATAGCTTTAACTCTTTGGGATTGTACAGCCATGCAAGAAACACGAGCAACATAAAGTATTAAATACACAGTGCCATAAGGCCTCCTGTATCCTGGCTTATGCTTCAAGTGGTGACAGCAGGAAAGAAATCTGTCCCCTCTCATGTGAGGACAGGAGCAGCAGCACAGAAACCCTGTTATCTCCTTCACACCACCAGAGCAGCTCCAGTGGGAACACTGGGCCCTGGACCCACTGAAGAGTGCAAGCTAGAGTTCATCTCTCAAAGACATTCTCATGTGATTGATAAACATTAGTGTACTGACATTTCACAGTTTTTATTGTG